CCCTTTTTATTTTATTTTTTATTAAAATATAGCATATTCAATATCAAAAACCAAGTAAATCCGATTTTTACACTTAAAATAAAATGCATAGCAATTAAAAAAAAAAAATTCATAAAAATTTCAAACTCTTTGTATGCAGTTTTGTAGCCCAATAAATTTTAGTGTAATAAATTGCTAGTTTCAAGTTTTTAAAAAATCGCGTTGATTTTTGATAATTTTTTTTCTTTAAGGTGCTATGCATAGTACTTACAAACAAAAAATTTATGTTCGCGAATTTTTTTATATGACAATTTTTTATTTATAAATTTTTTTTTATTAAAAGGAGAGCACCTTTTGTACAAAGTTTGAAAATAAAATTTACGCGGATTTTGTGAAGAATATGCTAAAGTTTTATAAAAAAAGTAACGATTATTAAATAAACAAAACGAAAACTGCCAATACAAAGGATTAAAAGAGGGTCTATTGTAGTGGCCGGTACTGTATCGGCAGCTAAGATCAGAAGAAGTTATTACTGCTGTTCTCTTTTTTTTTTTGGTGTTTACGGCATTCTTTAATCATGTCCTTTGATCTCCTTCTTTCTAAGCCAAAATGTTTTCAAGCATCCCAATGGCTGCCCCGTAGACATGACTCAAATGTATAAACTTCAGGCATGACTCAATGAGGCATACTAGTGCTAGTGTGTGTGAATTTGAAAAAAAAGCCGCGAACAGAATTGGCGCAATACCATGTGAACAAATATTCTAAAAATTATTTGTTTTTGTTTTCGCATTTTAATTTATGGGAACGATTTATTCACATGGAACAGGCGATATGGCGATAATTATGTTCACTGACGGTTCTAAAATGGCAAATGGAGAAGGTACCAGAAATTGAAGATCGGCCGCCTAAAAAGGTTGTGGTGCTATGAAAAAAGCTGTGAAGCTAGCCCACATAAAAACAAAAAAACACACATATGTGGACTACCAAGTAAAACAATTGCATAAAGCGCCCTTCGCAGTATGAAAGCCAGCCGAAAAACTGACGAAAATTAGAAGACCACAAATCTATTGGATAACCAGTCCGACTTTTGGACAGGTCAAATTGCACGCAAAGTCTACTTGTACAGTGAAATAGATAGTCCCGGACTAGATAGGATCCGGTAGCCACCAGCAATGAGGGATTCTTAGAGTTGAAAAGTTGCGAGCAGGCAGCTATGCTAAAGTTCTGCATTCGCAAAAATGGATAAAAATGCTTGGGGGTTTTGAAAATCCAAAACTTAGACGACAATTTAAAAGTAGATTTAGATTCACTGCTAAAAGCTTTGATATCCTATCTGATGATGTATACTTCAACTTACAAGATATGGATAGCATCTCGCATGCTTAGAGACCAAGTCGTCTATATGTGGCTTAATTCCCAGTCTAAGCTCAGTTTGAAGAGTTCCACAAAAAACTGAAAATCAAAAGTAGCCTTATTTTCATTGAAGTTGATCACTTCAGCGACATTTGGGGAATGTTCAAGCTGGCAAAACAACAAAATAAACATCAATGCATGAATTGTGAGGCACTTTCTTAAAATACTCGCATGGCAAAATTCTAGGTTCGGTGTTTGGTTTTTGCCATCGATTGCACATCTGTCTCATACACACGTCAAAGATCCAAAAGTGAAGAGTCCGCTGATCAACAGCAATTAAATTCATAAACAAATGGTAAATTTCCTCATTTCGGTTAAAAACCTGAGGAAGTGATATCCATCACACACATGTCTACTTATTTACGAATCTGCTGTCCCAACATACGTAGCACGTGCGGAAGGAAACCATCTCCAATTCACTTTGTTCACCATCTGTTGGCTGCTAAATACATATTACCGGTTTGCGGTTTGCATGCATTGACAGAAATTTGACAGCTGTCAATCATTTCATTTTTTCCACAGCGTCACCATTCATTGGAAATTTTGCTTTTATCAATTCAAAGAGTTAAAATGTATGATACTGTGAAATTCATTTGGAAATTTCTTTACAAATGAAAGTGACACGTGAACATTGACCTAAGCAAAACTGCCTCTCTGAGATGAAGAAGCAGATGAAGAAGGAAAAGAAAGTGTTGTGTGTTTCATTTTCAAAGGAAATGGAAAAGCAATTATCGTTGAAGTCTTTACAAAAAAAAATGAAAAGATAGACACTGAAAAATAAAAATTAACGCAATGCAGCCACGTGCTGTTAAAATTGCAAGTAGTACTTGGTACTCTTTCTACTTTATAATATATTTAAGGGGCAAAAAATAGAAAATATTATCTACTTAATGGGCTGTTTTTCACATGTGCACTTTTAGAAAAAATAGGGACGCGATATTTTGACCAGTTGTGTGTTTTTTTTTTAATGTTTATTCATTTTCTATAAGAGTGTAGTAGTTTGTAAATATAACAAAAACAATATACATAAATCCACATTTCAAACTTTGTACAAAAATCAGATCAGTGCAACAAATTTTCACCAAATTTAAAACTTTTAAATCATAAATTTTAGAAACGATTTTGCCGCAAATTTTTGCCGTATTCCTATTATTTTTTTCCAACAGTGCATTTTTCAAAAAAATTGGATTTTAATTATTTCATTGATCTTCTTCCGACATGTCTTGGAGTAATTTTCCCTAAGAAAAATATCTGACGGAAACCCGACCGATTATGTATTTAATTAGGAAATTTACAAGACGTCGTAAACATTTTATGCTTTGAAGTCGTAAAATTTTTCAATGTAAACAACGTCTAAAATAGGTTTTCGGCTGAAGAGTTTAACGACTTTAAGACATTCCGCCGCTTAAGTCGCTAAGTCGCCTTTTAAGTACTTCATAAGAATATTCATATTCCTAAACCAAATAGAATAAATAAAGTATGGAGGGCTAAAAAAGCAGAAATTAAAGCTGTGATGATAATTTTAGCGCTAATACTGGAAATATATCCACTCATCAAAGAGATAAGATAAACCTTTTTAATACTGCTGAAGTTGATGGCTCCTTTACTGGGAGTCCATTGTATATGGCAAAGTAGTGGTAGAAATGTTGCCTATGACTCTTGTAAAGTCTAACGAGAGGGCCAACGAGCTAATATCCTCGGCACGAAATAACGCCTGAAAGTGTTTACTGGAATATAGAATAGCAAATGAGTAAATCTGAAAGAAACTCAACGGCTTCTTACTGTGCTTTATAACATTATTTTCGGGTAGCACTTTTAAGAAAGACGAAACTGCTACCAAATTTTGTATTCAAACTAAAATAAAAAGTGCGAGGAAGGTCATTTTAAGATAAAAACCTCAAGGGCGGTATGTGAACCTTTCTCATCGATATTCAGCAACAGGACCTACAGTGAGGAACGGACTAAAGAATTATGTAAAATAATGCTTAATTGCCGCAGGTTCTTGCCTAAGTATCCTTACGATAACAATTAATTTGGCATCGGACGATGACACACATATGTATATACCGGCATATTATATTGATAGTTGCAGTTTTTATAAAATTTTATAAAAAAAGGATGTTGCCCACATTTTTGTTCGGGGTTTATATTTACCATATACACTTATGTATGTATACTGGCAGCAAAATTTAAAAATGATTCAAGTGCAGTTTTTTAAAGTTCGTCCTCTTAACATCAATTCCTTGCAACTTCATAGGAGTTGCTGAGTTTCCAAATCACCATAAGTCCAAACTTTCACGAAAATTATGAAAATTTAAAAAAAAAAAAATTAATTTGGTTAAATCCTACCGCTAATTATATGAAGTAAAGAAAACTTTGGCTTTTGAGTTCATACAGATATTTGATGGGAAAAATGTGTATTAGCTCAAAGGATAAAAATCCAATTTTTTTCATAAAAAACGTATACAAAATTACTTCGGTTGTATACAAGGAGATTCGTGCTAATTTATGCATACTTTAAAAAAGTTTAGCGCCATTAAAAAAATATTGAAAAATAACATTTCGTTCCGAGGATAAATGTCTCTCTCCCATTATTTTCAAACATAATTTTTACACGAAGGTAATATAAAAAATAAATCAAAAAGCACTATACTTAAAACACTAAATTTTACCTTAATTTATCTTATGTTATGTTATACATATTTATCATAAATTTGTATTAAATAGTATTTTTTTTTTTTTATAATCGCACATACCTGCTTGCAGCGCTTTGAAAGACTTCTGCATAATTTCTTATAGAATGGCGCCATTTTTGGTGTATCAAATCGTTCAAGTTCAGTGTCAATAATTTTATAATAAACCATGTATGCTTATATTTAAGTTTTCACGCGCTTCAAAGTCCAAAAACTGTGTTAGAAAATTAAATTTCAAAAAGTTTCTTGCAAATCGGGGATTCAATCGTAAATCACTTTTTTACATTGCATTGAAAAGCTTCAAATTAAAACAAATACACAGTGGAAGCGAAAGCAAAGAAAATGACGTTAAATCTTATCAGTTTAAAGTCACACACTTCTCTTAGAGATCACTTGGGAAAATCTTCAAAAAAAAAATTGTATTCAAAGATAAAGCTTGTCTTCGAATAAACTGAATTTAATCACACTGCCCAATAAATTTTCTCTTTTCGCTTTGAATTTTCCGCGCAAGCAAAATATTCAAGTATACCGTTGCGTTGATCGTACGTAACTGAATGTGGCGATCAGTGCAGTCACTGCTTTTATGTGCCTAAACGAAAACTCGCGCCTTGAGCGGGAAAAGTTTGTTTTGAGTGCGTAAATGAGTGAAACTCAAAGCAGAACAGAGGAAAATGCCGAGGAAAATTCGGACAAAAGAAACGCATTCATAACAAATAAAAGCGTCGAGCCATTTATTTTCTGAAAAAAAAAATATATATACATATATGACTGACTCAATTCATCGACAGATACACAAAAATTTTCTTTACAATACAACCGCAAATGCTCGCCACACTTGAATATGTACGTAGTATCTATCTCATAGTCTAGCTGTTAATAATCGTGGTATTTGTGAAAATTTTCGCTTGTACTTACTTGTTGCACGACAATGGTGGCACGCGGTGGCGCACACACCGCCACATCCATTGGGTTCGAAGTGACGTTGATGGGCCCAGCACC